CATTTTCTATTGAAAAATCGATCAAAACTAAGAAAATATCGAAAACTTTAGATCGTCGTCACTGATCAATGTATCACCTTACACCTCCAAAACTTATGATATTTATGAAAGATGTTTTTAACTTATTAGTAAATACAAACAACAAAAGTTCATTCTTCTCATTTATAACTCTACTCAACTTCAGTTCAAAAGACTTGTATCGTTTGATAACATTAGATCGTAATATGAATATAATCTTTGTTAAAAACCTTAAATTCTACTCTATTTCAAAAACGATATAACTGCTTCTGATCTATGAGATCTTTCGAAAATTTATTCGTAGTATCCATTCTGTTTAATAATATTTTTTTTAATCATATTGTTTCACTTTTAACAGAATAAATACACATTTGGAAACATTCGAAGCAACTAGCGTATTCAAAGATCAATTACTATTGATTCGTTTTATCTGATTTAACTGGCAATATAGATATGTTTGTATCAACATAGTGATGCAGCTGATCATTTGTTTTTAATTTGCTATATATAGTTTATTTTCTGGCTGAAGTAAAAATTTGAGCTTTTCTCAATGGCAAGAAATTTCATGTTGAGAAGATATTTCAGTCAAATCTAATCATCACAGTGTTTTGAATGTGTTAAAATTTTGAAAATTAAAACAATACAACAAAGTAAAAATATGAAATTAATGAGAGTACAAATGATTATCGATGAATGTGTCCTTATATGTTTATATTTGTTATTATTTTCCATTGTGTCATGTGACACTCGTATCAAACAAAGTTAAACTTAGTGTTGTTCTTCATTTCAGTAGCCACATGTACAAGTCATAATAAGTATCACGTATAACCAATGACAATAGCTATTATAGAAAAATTATAAAGAAAAATTTATGTGAAAATACAGAATCAGCGTATGCTTTCTCTTATGATACGGTACAGGACGATTGTATCGTTCTATCCTGCGTTTATATTTAATTTGTACACATGAAATATTGCTGATGAGCGACATCAATCGTTAAATTGGTCTTGTTGGTTACCTAAAACCAATAGGTAACGAGAAAAATTCTTTCTTTTCATATTTTTGTCACACCTTTATTCATTCTTTTCTTTCTTTTCTATGATTGTTACCTACGTAAAAGTATCTAAACATCATCGCATGATTATTATATAGCAACATATTGAAACTTGATTTTATGTGATATTAAAATATTATTTCAGATGCGGTTATCACAATATCTTGCATGTTGGCAATCAAATGATTTTTGGTCTATATTTCTGGGTATGTCAAAAGAAAATTAAAAAAAATTAATAAGCCTATGTCAATAAAAAAGAAAACCCAAAGAAAAATATTCCTGAGAAATAATGTTTTTTTTTATTCTTTTTCTTGTTTTCATTATGAGTACAAAAAAAAAATACAAATACGAAAATAGAATCACAATAATTGATTAATATAAATAAATTCACTAAATTGTAATCATCTGATTAATATTTGTCTACTACGAATTTTTTTTACGCAGCTTATTTTACTTCGTTGTCTAATTTTACAGAAATGAGTCTGTATGTTATGTTTGTACTTTCAATGTTCGGAACTGAGTGATACAATTTTTAAAAAAGAACACTGCATTTATTTCACATGATGAAGAGAAACGTTTCTTTTTTTTTATGTTGTACAATGTTAAACCTTGAATATGTCCTTTTATTGTTTCCTCATAATCATTATGATTTATTTGTGTTTGAGGAGAAAAATCTTTAATTGATAAGAAGGTATGAGCAAAGATGTTATAACACTTGTTCAAGGAAAAGAAAACAAAGCCCCTCGAATGAGCCAATTAAATCCGCATAATGACAAATCTCTGGAAGAAAATAAATTTGAGAGCGGCCGACATACTTAAGAGCAAGAACATGATGATTATATCGATCATTCAAACTTTTATTTTTCTTTGCTAGTTTCTTTCTTTTTGCCATTGAAATTCACAACAAACAAAATATACATTCATTGTTTTTTCTTTTCAGGACATCGACTTCGATTCAGATATATCATCATTGGGATAATCACGATTCAAAGTGGCTACTTCCACATCATCACGAATAAATATTTCAACAGATGACGATGATGATAAAATTCTTAATGAGGAACTTTTACAAACAGAGAATTTATCTAATGATGAAGATGATAAACAAACTCATCACGATTCAGAGATTTCATCGATTACTAATTTGACAAGTAATCCAACATCAAGTGAATTTAATTTGAGTACAAGAACAAGTAGTCATTCATCAGACATAAATGTACCTATTTCATCATTATCAATGGTTGCTATTAGTTCAAAACAAGCATTAGCTTCATCATTGATCAATACAGATGTAAATAATGAAAAATCAAAAAAAGGTGTAAAACATTTTTTACGAAAAATTTTTGGTTCATCATCAGCATCAAATACATTACATCATCATGAAACAAAATCAAAATATGTTGATTCGCATAATATTCATAGTAGAGCTTATTCATTACCTATTACACAAGGTCCTATTCGTTTATTTATACTTCGACATGGTGAAAGACTTGATCGATATTATTCATCACAATGGTTACGACAAGCATTTGATAAAGATGGAAACTTTTGTCGTTTTTCACCTATTTTACCGTAAGTATTTCAATTGAATATTATGAATTGATTTAATACTTTTTTTTCTCTCATTTGTCGTTTGCTGTTTATATTCATAGATTTAATACTAAATGCTTTAAGAAAAATAAATAATCAACTAACTGATGGTGCAAAAATTCTGCATTAATTATGTTTTCAGTATATAGCGTAACAATAATTCGTCGTAGAGATTGGGTAGTTTCTTTATTAGAAAGAGTAAAATCTTTACTACAAAACGGTGCAAAAATATTTCATTATTCGAAAGTAGTATCAAATTATTCGAATTACAAAACCACAGGAAATCTCTCTACGACCCCCAATGAAGTTTTTCTCATTATGCCTAATATTCTATTTTATCTAATGTACTTTTATAGAGGTTCATTGAACTCTAATTGGACATAAAATATGAAGTTTTATTAACTTTGACTGTTGGAAAAAATCTGATTTTTTTAAATCATTTATTAATTGTGAACAATTTTCACTCAAAAAAAAGAATTAGATAAATGCCGGTTTCGAATTCAATCAATAACTTGAAAATATTATTTTTTACCTCTTTAAAATGTCCTATCGTACAGCGCTACAAAATTTGATAAAAGACGGACAATACGATCAAATTTCTTAGTGAATAGAGGCTTTCTTCTAAATTTCAGAACTGTGTGCAAAGAACTTTTCTAGTTAAAACATATTATTACAACTTTTTAGCCTTCGGTGGTAGTAGAGACTTTGCTTTTTCTAACATAAAAACTATTAAGTCTCCGCAGCAAGTTGTTATCACGTTATATATTGAAAAAACATGCATGCAGACCTTTTACACCATCCGTTATTCTCTCCTCGACAGAGTTCTCTTGTTTTCAATGGAAGAAAATTGAGATCTAATAAGGAACGATTCACACTATCAGATATTGTTAGATCTAATACTATTGCTACAAATATGTTAATGTAAGACTGAAAATAGTCTGAAATAATTCACATCCATCATCTTAATTTTGAAGTGCTATGTTTACAGATGCTTAGTTTCATCTCTGTGTAAAATTCTTAATTTTGATGCTTTCGAAAACACGGATATGAATATAAGTTCTATTGTAATAATCATTATCATAAACCGAAATTATTTTTAATTTTTCCTAGTCTTCTTGGTACCTATTCTTAGCTATAACATTAAGTCGAAGAGCATTCCACACTAGGAAAGATTTAAAATAAGCAAATTAAATCATTTTTTTTTGTTTAATCTATAGAGAAACATTACCAGTACGTGCTTCAATTGGTAATTTTGATCTTGATCCACCGCTGACATATAATGGTCTTAAAGATGCTTATCGAACTGGTAAATGAAGCAAATTTTTCATTGTCTTATTTTGTTTTCTTTTGTTAAAAATAGGCGCTGCATTAAAAGAAAAAAACTTAGCTGTTCATTACTGTTATTCATCACCAGCATTACGTTGTGTTCAAACTGCTACAAAAATGCTTGAAGGTTTACAATTAAATAATAAAATAAAAATTCGGTAATTATTGAATAAACAAAATAAAACTAACAAAAAGCAATTTTTATTATCTCTAGTATTGAGCCGGGTTTATTTGAATGTACTGCTTGGTATATACCAAATGAAAAAAGCAATGTATTAACAATGCCACAATTTATGACAAAAACTGAGCTGTTAGAAAATAAGTATCCTATTGATAAAAATTATCGTGAACAAATGAATATTGCTGAAATATCTCAACTTGAAACTGAATTAGAATTTTATGAACGAAGTCATACAGTTACTTCAACTATTCTTAAAATCCATGAGAATGAATTTATTACACAAATACAACAAGAACAATTAACACCTCAACAGCATATGCATATTTTATTTATTGGTATAACATTTTGGTTTATTTTTATGTTGCTTAAATAATTAAAATGAAATATAATTTTTTAGCTCATGCTCCTACATTAGAAACATGTACACGTAAATTATGTGGTGGAAGATTTCGTCCATCTCTATTAGCAAATGTTATTCGAAATGTAGATTATTTAACAGTAAATATTAAAAATTAAGTTAAATGAAATTTTATTTTATTTCTATTTTTAGATGACTGTTATTGAAAAAACAGATAATAATTGCGATAAATGGATATTTCGACGAAATTCATTTTATGGCGATGAATTTTAATTTTAATTCTTTGTTTTTATCTTTGTTTTTTTTTGTATTTCATTAAAAAGAAAAAAGTAAATAATTGAGAATTAATTTCATCTTTTAGATAAAATGCCGTCCACATATTTATAATATTAAACTAAATTAATAATCCAAAAAAAGGAAGAAAGATGAGCAGCACAATGACAACAGAAAACAATCCCATACCCATTGCAAAAATGGTTAATGATTTATTCTTACAATGGCTTTCATTACCGGATACACGTACAACTCTATCTGCTGCATTACATAGTGTTCGAACAAATAGTAAAATGCCAGAACCTATAATTTATTCAAAGGTGTGTAGATTTATAAATTTCATTGATAAATGAGTTTTTCTTTTGTTTTCTAGACTCTTACAACACGTGGTGGTGGATTTTCAAAATCGCAACATTTTGAATCACCACCCGTTTCACCTGTACCTCGGGCACCGTCAAGTCCACGTGTTAGTTCATCGAATAATTTCTCACTTGGTGAAACTACTCCTGGTATAAGTAGTCGTAGTGAAGAAAAGAAACAACGTTCATCAAAGAAAATATCTACAACAGTGAACGGTAGTCCTAGTCCTATTATTGATCAACAACAAGTAAGTTCTTCTTGACCATATCTTTAGAGATAATAATATCGATTCTTCATTTTGTCTCATTCGTTTTTGGTATTCAACATATATATATATCATATATAGGATATAAAAAAAGCCAACTATATAATTAGGTGATGATAATCTCAATAGAGCAATATCCAGTGAAATAACATAGGAAAAAAATTATCATATTCACAGTTTATTGAGGTTGTAGAGTATAGATTTGTATTAATAAAGAATACAAGTGATGACTGATTTAATTTTTCTTATTTCTATTGAGATAAATCGAGAAGTACCAGAGATAAAAGATAAATATAATGGAAATTTATGCTTTCTTTCAAGATAGGAGGAGCATAACAGTTAGTAGAATATCTGGTCAAATGATTCGTATAGTCGCTTAGATCTGTTGTCATACATGACTCGATCTAAAGCACCAACGGGACAATATATGTTTTTGAACGATCTCGATCTTATGATCGTTATTGCAATACTATTCATAAAGGTACAAAAGCAAAATCAGCATGTTCAATATCGATTATTGAAAGTATACAGGTTTTGTCATTCTGTTTCAGCATCATACACACCTTTATCAATTTCACTGAAAAATTCTCAAATCACTTATTAATTTTCTTTTTCAAAAAAAAAAAAAACATTTCCGCTAAACAAATACAATAATAAATTTTAGCAAAAAATTTTTAACTCAAATACTGCCTAGCCATTTAAACTAGAGATGTCCAGGATAATCTTTTTCTGTACCCTGTACCATATAGCTGAGAAAAACTTTCTAAGCCATACCCTACTTCACCCTACGAAGCTCTAATTTACACAATAAATAATAGTTCACACATTATCTTGTATTTTTTATCAACAACATCGATAAATTTTTTTAACATTTACTTATTCAAACTATTATTTTTATTAGGTATCTATAGAAAAAGTTTTAACCACTCAATTTCCAAGATCCGAAACAACTCCATCGTCTCCTACAACATCGACAAGTAGTACTCCAAATCGATCTTCAGCAAGAACTACAAGTACACCATCAAAGGATGTTTCATCAAAACAATCTCAACAAACACCTATTTCACAACCGAGTCCACAATCACCATCAAATGTTCCACTTGATCAATCTCCCAAACCAACAAATACTACACTTACTTCTGCACAACAACCAGTTGATAATATTATATCTTCGCCAACTGTTACTATAACAAAAACACCCATATCATCATCACCTAATGAACAAGTCATACAGCCGAAATTAACACCATCAAAAACAACAACTTCAATTGTTCAACAAACAACATCAATAACTGTTAAAATTGAAGAAAAACAAAAATCTGTTGAAACCATTCCTAAATTTTATTTTTCTGATGAATACAATGCATCGGTATCAACACGTGATGCACTACTTACTAAACAATTACGAAAAGTTCAAGATGAATTATTTGTACCAAAACATGATAAACTACATTTGGAAGATTTTGGAAAAGTTGCTCAGGTATAAATCATAAGTTTTAATTATGATAAATATTTATTATTATGTATATACATATTTTTTTTTAGTTAGTCGATTTGACTTTATATTGGAAAGCACCATTATTTCGTGCGTGTGTACAAGATGCTTTAGGATCACAAGTAACAATAACATCAGATACAACTGTTACTTATTCACAATTTGAATCATTTTGGAAAAAGTAAATAATTTATGACACGAAAGTCTTGACATAAAATATTCATTAATTTTTCGATCATATAAAGACAATTGATTAGAGCGAGAAACAAACATTTTTGCTCGTTCCAAAAATGTGTTCAGAATTTTCTCGAAAGATAAGATTGGACAGTCATCATCAGATAGTTTCAAATTAGTCAATGTACAGAATAATATTTGAGTCAATTTTCAATTTTGATTAAAACCTATCAAATTCAAATTACGATATAACTTTGTAGAGCAAAATTTGCTCTATCAAGAATGTTATTTACTTTTTCAAGACAAACTTTAAAACTATTACATTTTTAAAAACCGTTTTTGAAACGGTGATTTCCGATTGTCATACAAATTAGCTCTCTCACAAGAACAGATTTCCCTTATCGTAGTGTATCATATTTTGTATAGAATTCAGTGTTCTACAATAATGTTGAATTGAAATTATTCCAAGACTTAAACTCAGGAGTGCGCTATAACGACTATTTTTCTTTGCAAAGACATCATTTCGGATTTTTTCATAGAATTTACTGATAATTATTTAATTTTATCTCAGAAGGAAAATCTGAACATATATTCAGAATATAAAATGATAAGTTCCTATTTCAAAAGATTCAAATGAAATGACTAAGAAAAAATATTTCATGGAAATTTAGTTTGATGCGTTGAGATATGAGTGCAGAAAATTGAAATTAATATAAAAATAACATAGAAATAATGTGTATAGCTTCGGATTGCGTCAAGAAAGAACGAGGGCTTACTTGTCAACATAACAACCCATCATATTTTTAGTGTTCTAATTTCATCTTTCATACATTATCTTATAGAACTCGACGAACTGAGAATTGTTTTTTTGTGATAAAACTTGACCTAAAATTAGCAAGCCTGAAAAAAATTATCGTGAGAATGTTTATCCTTTTTGTTTATTCGTAATATGAAAGTCATAAAAAGTCCATCGAAAATGCTCTCCTGACTAGACATGCAGCAAACCCAAACGGTTTTTCTGCATGTCTGATCAGGGAGTGTTCTCGATGGATTTGGTTTTTGATATATTCCTGAGGGGAACCCCTAGCTAAGTTGTCGTCTGATTTTGAAACGCACATTGATCCATCCAGTTTTTCATGCTGAGCACGGTTCTAACATTGAGTTTTGCATTTTAAATGGAATTCATCAAGAAATACTCGAAATAATGCTGGTTTTTTTAGTTCAAATTGTGAACAAAAAGTAAAAAAATGTCACCATAATATTTTTTAGGATTGGATTTTCTCGATGAAATTCCGTCCCGAAAAAATTCTCAGATCGACGAGTTTCATCACACAATTTATGAAACATGAAGCAAGGTCACTGAAAATGCGATAGGTCATTTTACAGACAAATACGCCCTTAGCTCTTTCCTGATCCAACTGAATCCGAAAAATATAAATATCCATTCTAAATTTTTTTTTACTATTAGAATGAATCTCATGATTCAATTCAAAATCAAACTCGGGAATGCATTCCTTCAATTGAATGTATAGAAACAAATTTTGGTCGCACATGATCGATATTAATCGAGATGCTTGCAGTGGTATTATGTAATTTTTTTTTCTATATTTGTTTAGAGTATGTAAAAACAATCATGATAATGCATTAAAATTTATCTATTTACTCATTCATTCATCTCCATCAACATCACCAATGAATCGTCAATATTTAACTATTGATGATTGGGATTATTTTATACAAGATATAATAGATACACATCCGGGTTTAAAGTTTCTTCGTGAAGCACGTGAATTTCATTCAAGATATATTAAAACAGTTGCTGCAAGAGTTTATTATAATTGTAATCGATCATGGTCAACAAGATTAACTGTACAAGAATTGAGACGATCAAATTTTTTAGAGGTAGAAAATCTTTTAATAGTACTTATTTTATCGAAAAATGATTTATTATAGAAGAAAATTCATCAATGGAAAGGTGGCATTGATGTTGTTGTTTTTTTATTCAGGAAATTTTATTTAGTCTATATTTCTTTGATAAGTCAATTTACTCTGTCTATGTACATAAATAACAATGAGTGAAAATATAATGTGAAATGAATGAGCTCGTCGATGAAGTTACATTGATCCTGATTTAAAACAACACAAAAGAGGCTTTTTATAGGGTGTATTTTGTGATTTACTGCATGCGATCTGCTTCTCATATATCTTTTATTGCTTTTACAACACCCTTTACAAGTTTTGAAAAGATACAAAAGTAGCTTGGCACATGTAACTCGGGTCTCTGCTAAATATTCCTTCAGTAGGATTTGTAAGTGCTTGATCATAAATCTATGTTCTTAGGAGTGCGAGTCCAAGAGAGACAGAAAAATAATGGGATAGTTTTGTGCAAATCGGATTTGTGATTTCAAATAGTTCCCCGACCGAAAAAAATCTGAATCAAACACTACGAATTAATAATATACAAATACGTTGTCCTATGCATTCTTTTCTCCACAACAAGATTATGTCAATTACTCTGTCAGAAAGTGTAAAGATAATTATAATATTTACATAGAACAAATGTTTATATTTATTTCATATAAGCATTTTGTTATTATTGAGTATTTGCAAAGTTTTAAAATTTTAAACTACATGAAATACTTTATAGAATTTTTAAAATGCAAAAATATTTCAACACATTGTTTATTTTATATCAATTTTATAAGAAATGATTGATCTATGATGATTTTTTCTTACTTTGTATAGACTCTCGATAGAATTCAAGAAGAAGAAGATATTAATCGTATACATGATTATTTTTCATACGAACATTTCTATGTTATTTATTGTAAATTTTGGGATATAGATGCTGATCATGATTTATTAATTAGTCGTGATGATTTAGCCAAACATAATAATGGAGGTAAATATATTCATTTTAATTTGAAATAATAATTAATTAAATAACTTTTATTTTCAGCTATTTCTAATAAAATGATCGATCGAATTTTTTCGGGTGCTGTATCGAAGTAAATGCATTCAATAGTTATCTTCGTTGATAGCTTTATTTTTATTTTTTGCAGTAGTCAAAATATGAAAGAAGGAAAAATGTCTTATTATGAATTCGTATGGTTTCTTATTTCTGAAGAAGATAAATGTTCACCAACGAGGTAAAATTTTATTCATATTAAAAAACTGTTAGCACAATTTCTGTAGAATTATATTATGAAACACGATGTAGATACTGTTGTAGATTGCAAGAAGATTGTTTTATTCTACCTATCTTGAAACACATTTCTTCACCGCCCTTGTACTTAATCCCCCAGCAACGCAATAAAGATTTTGGTTCATATATTAAAATGAGGCGTCTTGATCGTGTATCAGTAACATCTGTCATAGATTCTGATGAACGAAAGACATTACCAGGGATATCTATCATGATCTGTTTGAAGGACAGACACTCTGGCCACCCAGAAGGATATTTATTAATGATTTAGATAGGACGACATATTATCTGACATATGGATTATTTAGAGACACAAACGTTCTTGTTCCTCTAATTAGCATTAACGAAAAACACCACTAGTAAGGATTAGGAGCTATTTTTATTGTGAACAAAAGAAACAGAGAGAAAACACTTCTGAGAAAATTATATATTCTTCTTTCATATCGAGTAATTTTACAGAAATATGTGTTCAGTATAATCAACTTTCAAATTTTCGACAACTGCAATTTGGATGAAACTTCCACTAAATATTCCTACACCTCAAACATCTATACAATGTTAGTGCGCATGTCTTAGGCCTAAGCTAAATGTTTTCTAGGTAAAACTCTTTTTTCCTCAATATAGAAACAATTTTACTGAAGGCTAACTCTATATTTGGAAGCAACATCGAATGATGTATAATATATTAGTCTTCGTATAATAAAATATTTCTGCGTATAAATAGGATTAGAATCTCTCACAGTGACGTTTCAATTCAAAAAACCCCAAGTCCCATTGGTCTATGGACAAATGCTCACAGTAGTGGATACAACTTTCTATACTGTAAATTTTAACATTCCTTTTAAATCGTGTTTCACAAAAAAAAACTTATTCGAATTATATCATGTTTTAGTATTGAATATTGGTTTCGTTGTATGGATATAGATGGTGATGGTATTTTATCCATGTATGAATTAGAGTATTTCTATCAAGAACAAGTACATAAAATGGAAATATATGGTATTGAATATATGCCATTTGAAGATTGTATATGTCAAGTGAGAACGCATTGAAAAACAAAAGAGGAAGATTTCTTCTAATTATTTTATTGAATTTTGTTAGATGCTTGATTTAGTGAAACCTGAAGAAGAAAATAAAATACGTTTAAAAGATTTAAAACGATGCAAATTAACAAATATTTTTTTTGATACATTTTTTAATCTTGAAAAATATTTAGCCAACGAACAAAAAGATCCTTTTTCAAATTTGAAAGTAAGCAGATTAGTTTTTTTTCTTGTCTTGTTTCTACTGCCCATTTCAAAAGAGAATATGCGTCACTGTTTTCTAAATAACTTTTGATAGGAATATCACAACGAGTTGCAGTTTCGACTATTCATGAGCAAGATCTAAGGCTATCGAAATTCAATTGGGCAGCAATTGATCATTCAGATGAGTTCTCGATGAAGACTTTCGAAAACGAAATTCTAAAGCTATTTCCGTTTCGATCGACGCAAACCTGACACTCCTAGCTTGTTCTATTCGAAAGTTGTAAGACTTATACAGAGAAGTCCGATTTCAGTCAATTGACTTGTAATCATCGGGAAATGCAGCGAGAAATAGGTAAATCATCGTGCTGATTTGAATGGTGATATTTGTTTTCACATTCGAATTGATCTGATACAGTTATTTCAATACTTCCGAAATGTTAATTTCTTCGCTACATATGAAGATTGATTGTGAAATATTAGTAATATTCAGATAGCAGTGTCAGATCAGTCCAAACCTAAAAGCAAATATCAGCATTCGACTCAATATAGTAAATTATTCCTGTATAGTTCCTTTTCAGAGTGATCACAGGTCAATTAGCTGAAACCGAACCTCACAGAAAAAGTTTTATAACTCTCGAACGGAGCAAGCCAGAGATGTTAACCTTGCGTAGACTCAAAGAGGAGAATTTTTCGTATCGACTAGTTCTATTAAAGGTTTGAATCGAGAGGAATATAACTTCAGAATATTATTTTCGAAAATCTTCATAAAAAAATCGCCCGATTGGTCAGCTATTGGTCAAATATGGTTCAATGTACATCGATAGCCTTGAGTCTTCTCTCTCGAATGATGAAAACCGCAGGTCTCTATCATGTTCCTATCAACATTTATTTAAAAACCAGTACATCACATTATTTTTTGAGATGGATGTTAAAAACAAAGTTTATTTGTTTCATTTTTTTGTTGTGAAGGATCCTGATACACCTGAAGTATCTGATTGGGTTAAATATGCTGAAGCTGAATATGATAATTTAACACATGAAGATGGAGCTAATGATGATCTTGATGATGAGTAAGTTAAATAAGAAAACATGTATTTTATAAATTTTTTTCAATTTTTATAGAAATTACGATGAAGATTTTGAAGATGAAGATGATGGAACTGAAGAATCAAAAAATAAAAAATTAACTGGTAATAATGTATCATCACCCCAACGTGTTGCTTCTGCTTCAAACAATAAAGCTGATGATTTAGAAAATGAACTTAAACGTTGGAAAGATTGATTTCTTTTTCTCTTTTTTTTACCCGAACGTCTTTCCTTTCGTACATACAAACTAATTTTTTCTCAACTTTGACTGTTTTTTTTCTTCTTTCTTCGTTATCTTATGCAATCTCCGTATAATGTCTTTTTTATTTTGTTCTTCATCTTGTTTTTACATGGAAACAGGATGTACAAGAATATTGCACTTTAGAAATTTGATATTTTATTATTGAATTTTATATACGTAATAGAATTGATGGTCTAATAAAGTACCATTTATCGAAAATGTTGATTGTAGTTGTAAAATTCCTGACAAAGACTCTGAGTATTTAAGACATTTTTGTATAACAGTAGAACAAATAATAAACTTTATCAATAATGCATCTGCTAGTTCTTTGGACTTATTAAACTTGCTAAAGATCAATATGAACAGTGTAAACAAAGCCTTTTTTCAAGCACAGTGAAGAATAAACCCCTTTTCAGACCAGTACTGACAAAAACAGTATCTACTTTCTCATATTTTCAAGTACTGTCCCCCTCTCATTCCCAGAATAGAAGGCTATAGATGTCCCAGAAACCTTTTTTTGGAAACCCAGTGGGTCTTTTTTTTAATTGAAATTATTATTTTTTCTCGTAAAAAACCTGTTTCCTCGAAATTTGTTTCCTAAAGATGGCTGCTTGAATACCAGAAGAGTTTTCTAGAAAAATGTTAGCAAAGACATATTGAGAGATAGACGACAACCTTAAAAGCAGCCGTGTGAACTTTCACTATAGAAGGTCATGGTCTTTTATCAAGGCAAGAAAAGGCGAAGATTTCACACTTCAGCCGACTCCAAGGGTATGTCATAATTATCCTTTTGGAATTTTAGAGGTATTTGTGAAATACGCGAAGACCCACGAAGACCCAAAAAGGTTGAACATTAGAGGGATTTTCCAATACATACTGTTGTGTCCAATCTACGAAGACCCATATCTTTTGCCAGTTAGGTGGCCTACTCGAGTTAGCTACATACCCAAAAAATCAGGCTTTCATATGCTTGCCTAAGAAAAATAGCATAGACGTACTTTTTAAATTTTAAGCCTTACGATTAAATTTCGCATATTAATCATGCCATGTGAGAATTATGACCACACTTGCTCAATCAAGTAGTCGTCAGATTTTGTTCAATTCGAGATACTAGTATTGAAGAAAGAATTTTGTGAATTTTGACGAAAACTGTTCTGAAAAATATTAAACCCTTGGTTTTTTGTGTATGTTTTACGAAAACTCCTAAATATCTGCGTTTCGATCAACGGGGTATTGACAAGACCATATCTCAAGAACGGTTTAACCAATTGAGCTGAAATTTTTTATAAGCATATTTCTTTATGATTTCTACTTAAAATAAAAGTTTCAACTAAAAATATTGTACTCTTAAGTTTTTATGAATCATTCAACATGGACAAAAGTTCACATTTTCGACTAGTTCCATCATCCATAACTCGCAATTGGAACATGATAGAGACCCGACATTTTTACTGGAGCTAGAATTTATAGAGTTCTATCTTTAATAGAAATTCTAATCCTGCAATCCCTACTTCCGATCAGTAGAATTCTCTCAAAAATGGTTTTTCCAAGAAAACCCTAATTCTCAAACAAGATTTCCTTCTAAGAAAATGGATAGTTGAAGATTTGAGTTTAAAAAGTTGAAGTATTTGTGAAATATACAAACACTCACAAATATAGAACTGATATCATCAGTAGATCGAGTTTGGCGAGTTGAATCTATGAATATTCACGAACATTTAAAACGGTTGAACGTGAGAGTGATTTCCAATGTACGCTGGTTTTTTCAATTCACGAACATTCATATATTTTACTAATGTCCCATGTGATTCGAACCGGAAAAAAACCGGCGGTATACCGCCGGTAGACCGTTCGGTATAATGTGCGCTCTACCCGCGGTTTTGCCGGTAGTTGCAAAAAAACCGGCGGTATACCGGCGGTTCACCGCCAGTATTTACCGGTAGTAACAAAACAACTGGTGGTATACCGGCATG